ATTCTCACCAGATATTTTTATTATTTTCATTTTAGTTTCTGCCTTTTATCAATATTTAAATCATTATTATTTCTTACCTAAGAGGTAAAAATTACTTGAGTTCGTTTGGAAAATTTTTTATCGCCATTATTTGTATACTTTTTGCTCTTCTAAAAATATAATACTCCACTGGAGGCCATCATTTTTTCAATAAAAATTAAGTATTTAAAATTTACTGAAATATTGGGTATTAAAAAAAAAAAAATTTAACGTAACATTTTTCCAACATTTTCATATTTTTTATACTTTGAAAGTATAATAAGAGCTTGAAATTTAAATTGAATCGTGCATCACGAAATTCACCCTCAAGACAAGATTGTCAGTGTAGTATGAGCTTTTAACTGCTCTGGTAAAGCTGGAAAAATACGAGGGACCGAAGCACAGCGGTATGCTAAGTGCGTTTGTTCTCTTAATGTGTTTGATGGATTTATACTCCAGCTGTACCTACACTCGTACTCGCGTTACCCGCGCATGTATAAAAAATACCAACTTATCTCATAAATTCAATCAACACCCCTTCTTTCTCACCCTGCCTTGTCTTCGAAAATATTATCATTCAATCTTCCCCATTTCATCTCGGAACAGGGATGATTCAAAATCATCCGCGTAAAAAATATCGAGAATACAGCATAAATACCTCGCTTTTACAAAAAAAAAAAAAAAAAATGTTAACACAGAAAGGTACAAGCCCACGAAGGAACTAATCTTGAAATTCGTCATGTCCCACGATTCGGCCGTCAGCGTGTTCTCGATTCAGTCTTTCACAAAGCCACCGTCTGCCCGTGTCAGCCTATGTATGTAGCACAAAATTGTTACACACACACACACACACACACGTTCACTCGTACGTACAAACACACGTGATAATCGGATAACCGCGGTCCAGAACTCAATTGAGCTGGGTCAGGGGGAAAAGGTCCTTTTCCACCCCAGCCTAATTCCACGTATACAGTCAAAAGGACCAAGGACGAGGGGAGTCTCGGGCCGGAGGAAGAGCAGCAGATGGGAAAACAGAGGGAAAAAGAAGAGCCAGCGGCCAGCTTTAAGATCCTCGGCTCCTCCCGTCCATGACGCTCCTCTGCGCCCAGTGTGTGTGTGTGTGTGTGTGCTTTACGGTGTAAATAGAAAGGCGAGCTGGCTAGTGCCCGGCTGGAAAAAAAGGAAAAAGCGAAAAAGCCTGGTTCGTTAGGAAGGTCGACCTCGAAACTCCTCCCCTGCTGTGAAAACTTTTCTCCAGTCCCATCCAGCGTTTACCCTGTGTGTTTCCTTTCGGTGTTGTGCTATCACCCGATGATGGAACGCCATCACATTCTATTACATCGAGCTAAATAATATATATANGAACTATATATATATATGTATTTTTTTTTCTTGTTCCACGTAGACTTGGCAAACTATGGCCTTCGTGTGTGTGTTTGCGGTTTCTTTCTTTGTAACGATGCTTTCAACGTTTCGACGAGCAAACAGTATTAGGTATCGTTAAAAGTTGTGTTTAGAGCCGGTGGGCGGTAATCGCCCGTGACCCGTTGATTGCCGCACAAATGGAGATGCTAGTTTGGAAACTTTAATTTCGCCCGTACCTGGCTTTTAGTTGTGTCGAAGTGCACTTGGTTTCGCGATCGGAAACAATACGACGCGAAACGAGTTTGCGGAATCTCACGCCGACTCTATTCAGTGTACGTCCTCGTGAAAATTCTTTGATTGATAAAACCATGCGAAAGTTTCGCCATTGGTCCAACTTAAAAAAATTTTCTACTATTCATTCATATAAGCTTTGCAACAGTTTCAGTTCATGTGCATCGGTTAGCAGAGCAAATTGAAAGGAAATACCTGGAATATGGGAAACATGTTTAAAGGAGTCAAGTACATCTGATAGTTGAATTTAGTTTCAAATTCTCTTTTTTCCAGGTAAACAATCACATTGTTCCTTAAATCTGCTCAAGGAAGTTTACTGCCAAAGTGTCGGAATACACGTGACTGCATTAGGTTGACCATTACAATGTTCCCCCATTCTGCTCTTGGACACCAAATTATCGGAACCATTGTGTTATACCAAGTATACCTGGGCACAAAACTTTGGGGTAGTATCTGTTTACCTTAGGCTCGAGGAAGCGTGTGATTATCGACATGGAGCACTAAAGTCTTGGGTTGCACGTACTATGACACCCAAAGGTAAATCTCTCCGAAGCGGAACTAAAAAATCAGTCTACTGAGCCATTAAATTTAATGTATTTTGGTATATTCTATTTATGTTGGAGAGCAAAAAAAAAAAAATCAAAATATTGAATTATAATCAAACATTGAATTAAAATCTTGGTTTATCACCTTGTATCGGTACAACAACAAAAAATCACCACGAAGCTGTGGCCAGTTTTTTTCCAAGCTTTGATGCACCAAAAATCCTGTGCTGGGTCAAACTAAATAACGTCCACCCAAGACATCGTACAAATAGATCCCGTCGACCGCACATTGGCATCGAACTACAACGTGGACTCTGATCGCATTATGCTGCTCGGAGACTCCCGTGCTCGGGACGGTGAATAAAAATATGACAAGAGCTCGAAGGAAAGCCAGCTCTCGACGGTTAATAGGCTTCTGCGGGGCATTGTGAGGCCGCGTGTCCGGAAATGCCCCAAAGTCGACGGTATCCCTTTTTATAAGTCGAATGGAAAATCTTTTGCTTGCGCGAAGAAAGAGCCGGGCTCTAGCTCACCTGGCGACCGTACAAAAGGCTCGCGGTCCGTTTCTGCGGAAGGAGCGTGTGTCAGACAGCGGCGAGACTCCAAGCTGGCGTGCACGCGTGTGTACCTGCACCATCTTATAGCTAGCCATCTACTCGCGGGAGGGAAAACTCGGGTGACAGTCGACGGAAGTCTTATAAACAATCTCTGTCTGGGGACGGTGGAAAGAGAGGGAGAGAGAGAGAGAGAGAACCAGGAGGTTGGGGGTGAGGGAAAATCCTGGTGAAACACGGTACGGTCTGGCGGTAGTGCGCCAAAGCAAAGAGGATCAATGGCTGCCGAGGGAGGGAACGACTACGCAAACAGCACGGCTGACTGTACGCCGAGTCGCACCACTTGCCAGCCAACCAGCCAGTCCTGAAGATGTCGCGTGCATTACGGCACGTCGTCGTGGTCTGTGTGTCTGTATATATGTACCTACACCGTAAAGAGACGTAGGAGAAAGTAGATACAGCGGAGGTTCTCTTTCTCTCGCGAATAGGAAATTCTTGCGGCGCGTACAGCCTCGTCAAAGGAAACACTCCCCGAGTGTTGGATCATCGCGCTTGCCTGTAAACCTTCGTCCTTTTTTTTTACTCTGCCGTTGTGCTATCGTCTCTTTGCACTTGGAGATCACCTCTCCACCCTCTTCTTTTCCCTTCACACCTAGCCGTGGCTTGTTTTTTATATCAGCGATTCACCTCGTTCCTGAGCCGATAGGACTTGTGTTGCTTTACAACATCCTTCCGTCCTTTATTCGTCTCAGCTGTTTGTGAAGAGGAGTCTGGTCTGCTTTTTCTTCATAAAGAAGAATATTGAGATTGGATCTCACTCTCATGAATGGTCTGTCACTAATTTTTTTTTTTTTTTTTTTTTTTTTTTTTTTTTTTTTTTTTTTTTTTTTTTTTTTTTTTTTTTTTTTTAACAAGTTTTAAAGGATAGGGGTAAAAAAAGACAATGAGTGGATCTCTTTCATGGTAAGTTAGTTGTAGTTTTGTATCCTTTTCAGGATATTCGAGTATTTTCAAAACATTGGGTACTTTTTGTTATTTATAGCATTGATTTAAAGATAAATACTTAATCGCTCTTTAATTGATGGGAATAAATGGAGATGGGCAATAGTCAATTGGTGAGGTGTTCTAAAAAAAGTGTGGCGGAATGATTATATTCCATCAACGTCAATGACTCTTGATGATTAAACTATTGCGTGTATATCCTATTTTTCGAATTCAGGGGAAATAAATTTCTCCGCCGGAGAAAAAATAAAGCCCCGCTGATGACCAAACAAAAGAACGAGACGACGTACACGTCTTTTATCCATCAACGAAAGCCAAAACGAAGTGATTAATCACATCAGCGTATCGCGTCGCGAGTAGGGGACAAAGAAGACAGTGGGTGGAGTAGCGGTGGTAATCTGACCGGAAAGTTCGTTGTTTCGAGATACGAGAACGCGTGGGTGTAGCTCTTCCCGAACAATCCTATCTCAGCTGCAGAGTCACTGCTCCTGTGAAAGAAATCAGGGAGGAAAAAATTCCGCGAGAAACGTGAAAGGAATGTGAACACTTCGACGTGTCCCTTATAGCTCATTTGTTGATTCCCGATACTGATGAAAGGACGTTGGACTATACGCGCGTCGCGAGGGAACAGGAAATGAGCCATTTTTCAATTAAACCACTGCTATAATTTGTCTTTTATTTTTGTTCCTTTAACTCCATTCTGTTTTCTTTGTCTCCTGCTTTGTGTGATCCTTAGCGCGATATGACGCTACGTAAACGAGACAAAAGACTGGCGTGGCCGACGTCTGGTCGGGCAGTACTCGAGGAATGAGACCGGTGAGAGAAAAAGTAAGTTCAGCTGAGTTTAATTACGAGCCCCCCGACTCTCGCGGGCAGGGAGAAAACATCGAATTCGCCCATCTAAGTAATTAACTTGCAGTTGAAAGTATATTAGTGTTTGTATCAGGTTGAAACAAATTTTGAACATTTTTAATTAATAGTCGGCTTTTTTTGTGGCGCTTACAAAGATGAGGTAAATCAGTGAAGTTTTTCTGGAAATTCATTTCCAAAAAATAAATGACTGGTGAAAGATAACCAGCCACAGCGACGGAACTTGTTTGAACTCGATGAAAGACACCCTTTCTTGCTTGGCTCGTCGTATCAAAGTCACTTTTCATAACCGAGGATACCTCGTTGTAAGACAAAAAGTAGCGAGCATAACGCATGAGTGAACCAAAAAACTCACCGATAGGCACGTTGACGATGAAGAGAATGGCAAGACAGCGCCGGCAGAGCATCGTGCGTCCCCTTGGCGAGCAACCGCGCCTCCTTCTGCTTGGCCTCCTCGAGCGTTGCTGCGTCATCCGGCCCACGACTCGTTGTCCTCCTCCTCCTCCTTGCTGCCCCTCTATTTCTCGAAACTCGTCTCGCGATTCGGTCCCCGGCTTTATTATCTGCTCAACTCCATCTCCCGAGGCGCGAACCTCTATTTCCGCTCCTTCTCCGCGCCGACATGCCTGCAACCGAAAGAGAGTCCCGAGATATGAGTGCTGGAGATGGCGTTATTGTGATAAACGGCGAGGACGGACCGAAGCGGGAGAAGGTCACGTGGAACGGGATGGGGACACAGGCTTATTATCTTGGGGCTTCCACTTCGAGTGGTTTCGAGCTCGGGCTTCTTGCGCAATTTTAATGGACCGATTGGCAAGTCTCCGTTTAAATTAGGACCACTCGATTGAACGCGAAACTTTTTTTGATACTCGGTGTCCTTTTTTCGGTCTCCGTCATTACAAATTCGTAAGGAAGAATCATCGGGAAAATGTCATTTCCCCGGTTTCAGACATACATTCGGAAGTTGTATGTTGCTGTGTTAGTTTGTTGTGTCACTCATTATTTGTCAATACATGAATAAAAAAAGTAATTTGTTCCTCGATATTATTTTCTACCGTTGCCTTGGTGTATTCATATTGGAATATTAAATATCGCAGTTTACTAATTTGTAGACTTTTTTTTTCAAGCCACTTGATAATTAAAAAGTTAAATCTTTTCTAATCTTTAAGCCTCGTGAAAGTCAAAGGAGCGATTACTCCGAACGTTAGAAAATTAGGAGAAAATGTATGAAAGAGAAGCTATATATCGGTCGATGTCAACCGGACGTTAGAATACAGGTTTCGGAAAGAAAGGAGATGTATACTATTTCAACCACTTGGGGTATAGCACACCGTAACATGGATGATGCCATGCAAAACAAAAATTTCTTTGAGTTTGAATTTGTGAGAAGAGCAAAAAAGATATAAAAATCTTTACGTTGCTCGTGTACGTAATATGACAGTAAAAAGTTTTAGTTCTTTAGTTCTATTAAATAATAATGATTTAGTATTTTTGCAGCTGATAAGTATTCATGAGAAATAACTGTGTGATTGCTAGGATAAGCTATTTTCCAGAGTTAAATAAGTTATTTTCATACGATTTGTAGCTGACGCATGCACTTCACGCTTGCCCGTTATCATTATCGCGAATGTTATTGACAATTTTTTACGTGATTTATTTGACTATTATCAATCTCTGAATCACTTTTTTTACTATCAATATCTGAGTTGAAGGACAATTTACCTATAGAATTACATTTCTAGAATGTCGCATTGCAATTGACTAAAGCAATAGTAAGCATACGCGTGTACCTGTATTGTTTCATACATGTACATTGTAACGACAATTTTTTCGTATTTATAAATTACAGCCCTGATTATCTATTTAAATTAAATTTTAATCAGATAATTACTAAAAAATACATTGCTACGTACTTATAAGAAACTATAATTTACACTAAAAACTATACTTTAGTTTGAAAAAATGGAATTTTGCAATAAACATTATGTTAGATTTAAAGTTAATTGAGCCAATGTACGTTACATGGAAAATATTCACGTATTCAAGCTCACATTTTTATTTAGGCTAAAGATTCGCATACAGTGAGGCATGTCAAATAGGAAATTATTAGCTTAGTTAGCTGGGGCAACTGCAATTTTTATCATTATTCATGAAATATCTTTATTCAATTTCATACTTTAACCAGGTGCCTTATAGTCTCGGGTTCTAAATAAGTAAATATAGTACAAATCGCATGCATGACTTTCGAGAAATTGACTTACGTTATTTATAGCTCTTTTTTCTTATACCACGTGTATATACATAGACTTACAATGCATAAATTCTATACTCTAAAGGTGAACACAACGATCGATAATCAATGATTAAAGTACCCAAATTATTTCATTATTCACGAGGCTCTATTACTACTTGTATTTGCCGCATACAGAACATAAGTGAATTTGACTAAAGTGATATTTAGTAAGCAATAAAGCTCAACCACACACACTCACACGATAATGATGATAAATCTTTTGAGCGCACCCAAAAAGACTAAACAACAGATATGTCCCTGGCAAGTAGAACAGGTCAGGATCGCGTCAGACGTCGATTCAACAATTTAGGCTGAAAAGTGACAATAGCACGTACCTGGTAATAGCAGCAACGACAGCAGCTCGCGGGTCCAGAAATCAGGAGAAGTCCGACCACTAAGAGCCGTAGAGCCGTGATCCGTCGCCGGTGGTTTATCTAATTGGAATTGTCGAGGGCCACCGCTTGCTTGGGGGTGCCGGAGAGGGGTGTAGGGTCGAGAGGTGAGGTATACGACAGACGTAAGAAAGAGAAGAGAGACGGGTAAAGGTGGTGGGGGCCGTCTCAGCCCAACTTTGGACGTATCTCCAGGTTTGCACGCAGCGGCGACGAGAGCCTCTCCAGACTTTACCGACGTGACGTAGTCGCCTAATGCTCTAATCCCTTCGTCGCCCCATCGCCTGCTGCCGCTTCTCCGTTCCTCCGCCAGCACTCGCTAATATGTATTTTCCCAGTCCACTGTGTTTCACTCTTATTCGCTAATTAATTGATGAGCCTGGATTTAATTGCAGCTCATCAGAGCATCAGACCTACTCTGTATATTATCGGTGAAGGGTGTTATACCTACATTGGATTTCTCGTATAATGTACAACTTTGGGCCGCGAACACGACTTTTCGTTTAGCAGTTACTCTTTGCACGTTTCGTCGTGGACTTGCTCGTTTTGGTGCCTTTTTTTATCTCTTATTTTTGAACTCAAGTAATCAGCGTCAGACTCGTCAAGCTATGCAAATCCATCATGGATCAACAGATGCTTCGTATAAAATCGTATTTCGTATTTGTTTATTGTTACTTGGACCGATTAGTTTTTTTTTTTTTTTTCTATGCATCTTATACCATTTTATTGTATTGATTTTCAAAGTAACAAATGCACAAAGGTCATATTTATATCATCTAATTTGTTGAAAAATAAACGGGCGAAATAAAATTAAAGTCCATAAGTAAATAATATGTTAGCCAATGCATAGAATATGTATAATAACAGGTCTAGTCTCGAGTGAGGTATATATAATGTTTATACGTTAATTATTGTATCGATAATTGCGGACCTGCTCCAGCATGGAAACACACACCAGTACGGCATGTAATTGTTGCCTGAGTCTTGAGAATAAAAAAGAATAACAAAACACTGAATGTAATACATACACGCAACAGCTAGCAGATCCTTCATTAATCGCATTAAAAGTACAGCACACCCATAAGAGCTTTTAGTGGCTGTTTAAATGCTGTTGACACAGACCACCTCGGTATGATGGAGCTGAGCATAACACAGCGAAAAGTAACAATTTTTTTTTTAATTATCTCTCTCTCCCCTCCCTACACACCTTCCCATTATATCCAAACTTTTTTGTACCATCACTGAAGCGCCACGTGTAGCTAATTATACTTACCTCATGACTATATCAATAGGCTCTTATAGCTCTAGTTCCAGACTCATCGTATGTAATGGCACTACAACTACAGCCACTTTCGCTTTACCTACTGCTCTTACCTATACTGTTACACTTTCGCGTTCGATACGCTCCAATCAAACGCAACCCCCAAAGCACTTGCAGCACCTATGTACAATCTAATATCAAAACTTTGGAAAACAAAACAATCGCATAACAGCGTAAAGATGATCAATTGACAATCATAAGGAAAAGATAGCTCAACAGTATTTTATCTACCACGCCGATTAATGAGCCGCCGTAAATCGATTAGTTGACGCGCTGATGATATATATCTATATGCTATGTTCTTCCACTGCAAACATGGTACTGTCAACGTGTGTGCAATCGATGTGCCGGGGTCGTAAAGCTATAGCCCCTCAAACTCTAGAAACTTGAAAAGGGGAGACTGTACAGACTATTGTTATCACACTGAGCTTTACCCACGCCGACAAAGCGCTGTCGTTGCTTAGGTTGGTGCTTCCCAGTTGTGAGAATAATTTTTTAATGATTTCTTTGGTAATCGTTTTTCTACACCTTATTGACAAAGCTCTTCCTCGGAATCTTCTTGTTTCTATCAGTATATTATTGGCACATTGATTAACATTAACGGGTGATGTAGTTAACGAAAACGCAATAGCGAGAAACTTTGAACAATAGTTATAGTTATTACAAACTAGGCGCGTGTGAGTACGACGAACAGCAACAAGAGTACTAACCAACAAATGCTCACAACTGATTAGTAATTAATAGCAAAATCCATGCATGTACGTTTCTCATGAATGTGGTGCGACGAATACTGAAAAAACATCACACGAGTCGCGAAATGATTTGTAGGTACGTCTCGGGGGGGTGGCGAGCCGCTCGAGGAATAAGAGAGAGGGAGAGAGTGGGGTGGTGGAGCCATCTACGCTCCTGGCCGGGCTTGCTTTCTAATTATTCCCCACAGACCGTAAGGGATGGCGCGTAATTGGAGGGTGGCCGAGGACGCATCGATCCTCCTCCGTCCCGAGGAAATTTCTCTCGGCGACCCGGCCACGCGTGTGTGTGCGAGAGACGGTGGCCGAGGAGGGAGGGAAGCTGGGGGGCACCGGTGCGCAAAGAAAAGTGATAATGTCTTGAGCTGCGGGCACCATTTAACTTCTGATCCATCTATTTCTCTCCTTCCAAGGATTTGAGGGGAAACGGAAAGGAGGAGTGAAAAAAAGGAAGAAAACATCGCTGCTCTAAACTCGTAGAGATAGGACTCGCAAGCCGCGGTCGGACAACTGCGGGAGTGTGGGCCAAGCAGAGAATGAGCCGAGGGTTTAAGGATGGCCCGCCTTGAGATCTCGGGGAGCGGCAAACTAAGCGCTGGCACTGATCCTCTGCTCGTGGCCCTCCCTCGCGCTCGGCTACGGGAGAATCTCGATACTCGGCTCATCTAATTTGAGTCC